CCAGCACAAGTTCCGCTGCTTGCTTCACCAAATTGGCTTCGCTTAATAATCAAGCCACACAAAAATGGGAACATAACCATGCCTTGCACTTGACCATCGCCAATGGAGTTGTGCCAGGTACAGACACAGCCGGCTGTACTCTGAGGTGTGCCAGGTACATACTCAGCAGACTGGCCTCTACACGTTCGCTGGCGATTGAACCGCGCTCTTGAGCGAGCGGCGCTCCACAACTATACTTAGCCATATCACCACACACAACCCCAGCATCTGAGAATAATGAACCTCCCCGTCTACCTGCCGGCTGCTGCTGCGATCTCCCAACGACACGCTCATGCAAAAGCACGCATATACATAGAAGCAATGCCTCTTCAACAGAACCGAATTCACGAGCAGCAGCAGCACGCTTGACCGGAGAACACGATGAAAAGATCGAAAGTCGTCACAGAGACTACAAGCGAAGCAACTTTTGCCGCCTCTTAGTGCTGTGCAAATGGCATGGCAGTCGTACATCATCACCAGCGTTTGCTTGAGCATTCAGCAACACAGCCTCACCGCCAATATTGATACGCCTTCATCTCACACATTTCCGTCATGCACATGGCCTCTCTCTCTCTCTCTCTCTCTCTCTCTCTCTCTCATGGAGACCAAAACCATTCATGGGGTAAGCAACCAAACCCGACGTTCTCCCGCTTCAGGGATCGAAACAGATAATACCTCCACAGAAACATCTCCCGTATGCGATCATGATGACCCTATGTCGGTCGATCGAGGGTAGGTTACCTGCAGCTCTGCACACCTGTGCGCAAACTCTGCAGAGAAGCTTTCGTGTCTTTCATCTCAAGGTACTTGAGAATATGTGGACCAACCTGCCTGCGGCATATGGGGCATTCCTTGTTTGCTCGCATTACCTACAAAAATCGAACACCGTCATAACATGTTATCACAACAAATGCCAAAATTTATTAACACTGAGATACCAACCACTCTGCAGCGAATTCCAGTTTCACCTCCTGCTTTCCCGTACGTGGGTAATTTCACTGTGACGGTCTGGACTTACACTAACCATCTCGGCCCACTGCAACGCCAAAGAAGCCGCGACATGAATGAGAAATTGAAAATTCACATTTTGTCATTTTCACCTTTTCACCTTTTCACCTCAACTCTCAACACAAGATCTGACACTGCAAGGGCGCTGAGGCGGCATGATTTCCAAAACGCTAACCATTTGGCACCTGGGACCCGGGCCCAGGAAGCACAATGGCCCACGGGAGCACCGATTCGATCACAATCCCGATGATGCACGTGTATCTGTGCAGAAGAAAATTTTGGATCTGCCACAGGCTGTGCCTTGCCCCTGTGACAAGCCTATTGCATAATAATTACTGACAATGGATTTGACGCACTATTTGCCGCAAATAGGATTGCTGCCTCAGTGCGAGAAAAAGCTCGCACGCATCCTTTAAGATTAGCTGGTTTGGTAGGTAATAGAACTTAACAGCAACGTTTTCCCCGACTACGGCAGCAAGAATACCAGGGTTTCTAAGGAAGAAGAACAAAAGAGGGCAGTTGGGGTGGGTCCAACCTGCCTGTGTTCTTCTTTCCTAGAAACCCTGGTTTTTTTTTTTTTTTTTTTTTTTTTTTTTTTTTTTCCCCAATGAGCAGTCTATGACAAGACAGATTGTTCACCTGCTCCTGGATGGAGCCCTGGTAAGTATGTTTATGCTTAATACCCACCACACTTTTTTTTTTTTTTTTTTTTTTTTTTTTTTTTTTTTTAAAATAAGAAACCCTGGTATTCTTGCTGCCGCAGTAGGGGAAAACGTTGCTGTTGTTGTGGCTTGTCACAGGGGCAAGGCACAGCCTGTCGCAGATCCAAAAATTTCTCGTGCACAGATACACGTGCATTCGGGATTGTGATCTGGATGGAATCACTCCGCAACACCACAACCCCTCCTTCCAATGCTGGGGGTTAGCATCTGCATTGTTCTTCGTTTTGTCTATGCAAAGCCACCGTCTTTCCCCGAATGGAACATAGTATCATACAGACATTATTGATGTACCTGGACCGAAAGTTGTCACCAAAGCACACAGGTATAAATTAAATGACCATATACAGATTTCCCTATCTGGGGAGAGACGGCACGGCTGTACCTTTACCAGACTCACAATCAATTTTCCATGCAGGTTTGCTCGACTATGTTCATCTCGAAGGTACATATTGTCACATAAGTATGAACTAAAAGAGTGAGTGCACTTTGCGAAACAAACGGCAAAGATTAGGAAAAAAAAAAAAAAAAGACGAGGGGCACGCTGAAACTATTCATTTCTCTCATTCTTCTTTTAACTCCCCCTTCACCGCGCCTCTCACGTCCAACGCTTGCAACGTTGATGACGTAGAGCGCAAGCTGCCCCCATTCCCTTTGCGCCATAACGGCCACCTCAAAGGTATATATGATGTCATACTAAATTGATTTTCACCACACGACAAGGGCCTACTCTCAGCATTTCCCCACGAAAGCTTGCCCCGGGAGATTCAAAATTGTTCTCTTTGTTTAGTTACTTTTGAGCTTCGGGTAGCTACAGCACAGACGGAAGATCTGAAGTAAATTTGGCTAGCTGTTTTGCACTGCAGGCCGCCGTCTGTCACAAGGAACAGGAGTTGGCGGTATAAGAAAAATATTACGATCAAAAGGGGCTTAAACATTCACAAGTTGATTCAACCATTTCTCGAATCATGTGTGTCATCCTTGCGCAGCACCCACCCATGCTAATCTTCTCTGAATTATTTAACGTCGCAATCAGGACGACTATCACAGCCAGGGTTCAACAGGAACCCACCATAAATATTTATAGACCGTCTGGTGAGCGTCTCTTATAGGGCAAGCATGCCCAGCACAACCTCTATCAGCACAGCAAGCAGAACCAAGGACTTGCGGCAAAGCATGCGTGTACTAGTCCCAGCGGGTTGGTATGGTGACCGTGACCCGAGTGCTTCGTCCAGGGCCCTTCAGAGGCTTCGCCCATCTCTCATCAAGGTTGAGCGCTCGCGTCACCTCACATCAAGAGGACTCTCAAGACAGAGCTCACTTCCTCACGGTAAGAAGCAATGAAGAGGGTAGATGTTACATGCTGCGCCTGAAACGAGGGCCATTTTCAGGCCCTGTGTTGTTTTCGGCCTAAAAGCCTGAAAACAAGGGCCTACAGGCCCTGTGTCGTTTTCAGCCTAAAAGCCTGAAAACAAGGGCCTACAGGCCCTGCGTCGTTTCAGCCTGAAAGCCTGAAAACAAGGGCCTACAGGCCCTGTGTCGTTTCAGCCTGAGACAGGGCCCTCCAGGCCCTGAGTCTTTTCAGCCTGAAACGGAGGGCCATTTTCAGGCCCTCGTAAGATCGACCTGCCCTGAAACTTAGGCACCAGACCAGGGTTTTAGCACAGGCCATTCTGCGCCTGTTTTCAAGACAACCCCTGGTTGAGCGTCAACGCCAGGTTCTGGCACGTTTCGGCATTGGCAAGAGCAGTCTCCTGGACGGGCCAGCACTATATAGGACTGGCCCGCCCTGCAGGCTGCAGGTAGTTCATAGGGACTTCCCAGGCACTACACGTGCAGTTCAGGAGGCAGGAGGTAGTCTTCAGGATTCGGCAGCGGCACTCTGGAGTAGTAGTAGCGTTAGCAGTCGCTGGGCGCTAGTAGGATATAGAGTAGTACTAGAGAGAGAGAGAGATTGGGCGGAGGCCAGGGAGACTTACCTGCAGCGCCATAGCTCCAGCTTCGTCTTCGAGGTACGGCGCCACCTTCAGAGGTTAGTACCTGGCACATGAGAGAGAGAGAGTTCTTCTTCTTCCTCTTCTCAGTCCACCATCTCCCTCTCACCCTCTCGCTACCTGACTTCACTGCATCCGCAGACTACGAGAGAGCAGGCTTGGTGACATTTGGATCCAGACTAGACATTGGGCTTCAGACATTTGACGAGGGATTATCTGGGACTTGTAACGAAGACTTGGTGTTGACGACATTCCCATCTTCCCCCTTCTTCCTCGTCTGATTCCCTCCTCTTCGTCTGTGTATGGTCTGGACCTGGTGCATTCTTCCTGTGTGTAGCGCGAGGCCCCCACACCCCCCCTTCACACCTTGTGATGAGGATGATGCATGTTTGGTCTGTATTGCGACATTGATTGGGCTAGTCATTGGTATTCCAGCATTCTTTCTGCTGTGCTGTCTTGTACTACGTGAGAGAGGTCAGTCCCGGTCAGGTCAGGGCTTATATCTAAGTCTTCCCCTGCGCTATTACATGCCATTTTTGTATGTATCAGGATGTACACTGCTTGTTGAGATTCCACACCACTGCATTGTCCATTCAGTCCTTTTCATCACATTGCGGATCCTTGGCTATATAGCTACATCGCCCAACTGGGCATGTAACATAGATAAGGAAGAGAGCAACATACCTGATAATGCTGCCCCCAACCACAGATTTCTCACCGGCAATCTGACGTGCATTTATGACGACCGGTCTTTGCCTTGGCACAACAAACAGCGAAATGCAGTTCCACCTCGGCTTAAACGCCACACAACCCTGGGCCGCCTACCGTTCAACGTCCAACAGATCATGTGAAGCACCAAACCGCTATTGCGAAGAACCAACAAGTGTAGTTCGAACCAGCTCCGATACCAAATTGCAAGGAAAATGAACTATAGCGAGATGACAGAATCCAGATTGCACCAAACACTGAAACTGAATGTCAATGAGAGCTTACTCTCGTCATCATCAACATAAGAGTCCAGGTCCTTCCCCCTACTTCGCGCTCGGCGCCCAGACTACTCCCACACAGCTACTATCTGCCTATGAATTGACAATGCAAATGTTGACGTCAGCAGCCACCGAAGTACATGAAGATGTCGCCCAATGCTGACTATCGCCAATACCAAGTATGTGCCCTCATGTCATCATCCTCATCTCTCTCTCTCTCTCTCTCTCTCTCTCTCTCTCTCTCTCTCTCCCCTGACTTGCACCCATGTCTTCTCCCTCATACACGAAGACCACCACTACCGCTTGCTGTACGTCCAAGCCCCAGCCAGCTATGGAAGCTGGGCTATGGCGCTGCCCTCAGCAGCACCCTTCCTCCTACACGACCGCATGTGCTTGCACCTTGCCCTAGTGCAAACAGCAGCCCGCGAGCATCCGCTCCAGCAGCGCTGCCGCAAACTAGCAAGTGCCCCAATGACTCTCCGAACACCGAGCTCTTTCCTATATGGAAAGAGTCTTGCCCGGCCTGCTCTGCGGCCCGGCTGGGCTGGGCATGCGCCCAGAAGCTTCTGGTAGACCCCCGGTAGCTGGGCCTCTGCTGCTGCTGCTGGGCCTCGTTCGGTTACGCCTCCCAACTGCCTGTGTATATTGCTGCAAATGTGGCCCAGGCCTGCTTTTCAGAAAAGGCCTAGAACGCCGTGGCCTGGGTTCCTCAACCAACTGACGTGACGCAACTGCCTGAACCCAAAATACAAAATTGACAGCAATGGGCCTCTCATGATTTGTCAGGCCCACCTTCACTTAGGGCGGGCACAATTGTAAAAATGGGGCCCCTTAGGCTTGCCGAGGAGCCAAATCCTCGCATCTTCAGTTCCGTTAGGAATTCTGACGTGACCCTCAGCCAAATACATGACATAGAATTCTGACGTGACCCACATTCGGATTTTCGGATTTTACTACCAGCTGACGTGACCCTCAGCCAAAAAATAAAAATAAAAATCACTAAATGATGTAGTAAAATCCGAGTAAAATCCAAAAAAAAACTATGTTATGCAGAAAAAGAAACTGAACAACTTTTGCCTGAGGGTCTGTTACATGCTGAGAGCCTCCACACGGGCCCCACACGGGACCCGAGGTTGGATAAGGGCCCCCAGGTCGCGTCACCGCAACCTGGAGGCCCTACGGCCATTTCACTTAGGCCTGCATCGGAAAGACTTCAACTTTAAGTTGATTTCTTATTTATTTATTTACTGATGTGTTTTTACTAATGTGYTGTTGTCCGYTTTGTGGCCAGGTACACAGYTAGGACCAGGGCCRGAATCAGGCCCAGAGGCTGAGCCTCTAATTCAGTTTGGACCGTTACTCGTTTTCAGAAAAACGTTTGGACCTTTACTCGTTTTTGGCCAGACGTTTGGACCTTTACTCGTTTTCGGACAGACTTTAGACCTGGACAGATGTTCAGGCCTGATGCATTCGCACAGGCCCTGAATCGGGCCAGGTACCAAATCGGCCAGACCTAGGCAGGGCCTGGACGTCCGGTAGGGACCCAGGCAGGCCGTTTTTTTGGCCAAGGACTGAAGCCTGCGATCTGGACCGCAGATCAGGCTTTGATCTACACGGCCCAGATTGCAGGCCGTGGACTACTGGGTCCGGCCCAGCACTACTTAAGCTGGGCCAGCGCCCAGTTCAGGAGAGAGGTACCAGGAGAAATCCAGCGTTACGCTGGTTCAAGACTTGGCTGCTGCGCTATTTTGGAGACTCCCTGCTGCGCTATT